GGTAGCCCCAATATTTTTAGCGCATTTTTAACCCGAATTTGCTGAAAATTTGTATTATATATTATTATATAAGTATATGCCCATTTTTTCGGGTAGCCCCCATATAAGACACCCTCAACATTCGGTATTTTGGGTTCTTGAGCGCGTTTTCCAACAGAATTCGTCGTAATTTGGTATCTTGTAGTCGCATATTGTAACAAATCTTCCTACCAGAAATTATTTATATTAGCCCCCCTTTAGGAGTAGTTCCCATACCCCCCTTTTATTAAAATAGTTAGCTGTTTAGTTCCGTGTGTAGGGGTTGTCCCCATATAGGTGTATTCTACCATAGTATAGGGGATAGTCGTTACTCGAAATAGTCAGTTTTACCCTACAAATTATGGAATTCTAAGACGATTTAGCCATCGGTTGTAATCATTCCGCTTTCTAAGGAAATTGTGACAAAAAAACTCGAACCTGACGATAAGGAAATATATCGGCCAGCATTTAGACATCTCCTCCATATAATTATACCTCCTGAAGGAAAGCAGAGACACAAAACAAAAATATTGGGTTCGAAATTGACATAGGTCGGCCATTAATTAGGTATAGCCCTCATGTAATTATAACGCCAAATATTAGCTAATTCATACAGTATGTAATCCAAATTTCAGAAGTTTTAGGATTGTATATTCTACCATGCGTTATTCGTATAAGTCAAAGCTATGGGGTTTTCATTATAAATTGCTGAAATTTGTATTTGGTGTACACAATAGTTTACATAAACCGGTTTGTAGAATTATCAGTATAGGTTCACATTCTGGTATGTTCCCTACATTTTCATTTCAAGTATCTGTCAGTATACCTATGGCGAAAGATTCGAAAAAAAAACTGGAACATAAGGTTCGATAATTAACCGTATATATATACATAATTGTTCGAAACCTAAGCAACTTTTTCTTAGTAAGTAATCATGATCTTTTATAATCTTGTTAAATTTAATTATGAAAAGTACTTATTTTATTAACTATTACATTATACAGTCGACAATATACAGTCGACTCCGCTTTACTGAAACTGAAAAAAATTGGATTTTTGAACTGAAAATAATTTCAGTTATCCGAACTCATCATAAGCGAAACATTTTTTACTTTTACGAATTTCAATAATCTCTATATCATAGCGAATTTGTAAGTTACGATTTTTTTTAAAGAAAATAGACGATAGAAATTAAAACTGGTTAACATGTTCACTGCTTATGGGAATTTTATTATGAACTGTAAAACTTATGAACATGTAACGAAATCCATCGTCTGCCTGTTGCAATCGTAAGACCTATCTTAAATACAACGTTTGATTTTAAGAACCTAAAATATCGACCGATTTTAAGTCTTTTCAACAGCTGGCTAAGCTGTAATACACAATATGAGGTTGTAAATGAGTATAATACTTCCTTGCAAAACTTGTCACCAGACCTCAACCCCATTGAGAACCTTTCCAGCATTTTAAAACGAAGGATTGGAACACGTCGCTTTAAAAACAGACAGGAACTAATGAATTGCTTAAAATCAGAGTGGGAAGATATACCAACAACAATTCTAACAAATCTTGTAGAATCAATACCAAAAAGATGTGCGGCAGTGATAAAAAATAAAGGGTATCATAAGAAATATTGAAAGTTGCTTAGGTTTCGAACAGCTGTTTTGTGAGTTAATTTTGTTTTCATTCCTTTATTTTTTTCCAAAGAAATATAATTTAAATTTGTTGTTATTTTCAGATTATAGACACATAGTATAATAGTAAATAAAATATATATTTTTTATAAATCAATTTAACGATATCATATAAGACAATGAGAGAAAAAGTTGCTTAGGTTTCGAACAATACTGTATATATATATATATATATATATATATATATTCATATATATGAACTATTACCCGCATTTAGGGAGGTACCAGAAGGAGTGGACCGATATTCCCCATGATCGGACTTGAACTAATTTTGGAAGAAATAATAAGATGGACAAAGTTTGGATGAAAACAAAATAGTTTTTATCTCTTTAAAAACTGGAGGAAGTTTTTCTTCCTCCAGCTAGTCCACTTTCTATTAGAATATAAGGTATAGGACCATACATCATATGAACGAGATTTTCTTATATGTTTAGTTTAGTTCGAAAAAACACGTGGCAAGTTAAGCGAACAGCGCCATTTGATTAACTCGTGATTAACTCTTTAAATGAGTTTTTCTTGTGAGACGAACTGCTCGGTAATATTTGTGCTATACAAATTTTTTGCTGGTCATAGTAACGTAGATTATTTACTCTTTCATATGACACCTTTAGCCATTTTGTGTGGAAGGTATCAGAATGAGTGGACCGTTCGAACTTCATTTAAGTTTGGAAGAAATATTACAATTTGGAAAGTTTGGATGAAATCGGGAAGGTAGAAAATCATTGGAAACTCTATCGTTTTTTCAACAGATGAACGAGTATGGACCAATCGACATAGAATTTTATTATAATCATGTTTAAATATTTTATATGAACAAATTTAATATATACATAACCCTAGATGACTTGGAAAATGTAAGTAAAACCTTTACCAACTTTTTTTATACCCTTCACCACTCTGTGGTACAGAGTATTATGTCTTTGTGCATATGTTTGTAACAGGCAAAAGGAAACTAGATAGACACATGGTTCCTTTTGAGAATATGCATAGAATCACTTTCTGAGTTGATTTATGCATGCCCGTCCTTCCGTTCGCCCGTCTGTCTGTCGATGTTAAATTGTAAACAAAGTACAGGTCGCATTTATAATCCGAATTGGATGAAATTTGGCATAGGTCACTTATTTGGCCCAAGGACGAACCCTACTGAAATTGGGAAAAATCGGTTCAGATTAAGATATAGCTCCCAAATATATTTTCGTCCGATTTAATGTAAACGGTCCCTATATATGTTTGGATTTGCACGAACATGTACAGCGTAATGAATTAGGTCTAGAATGATGTGTGTCAAGTTTCCTGAAAATCGCTTCAGATTTGGATATAGCTCCAATATATTTTCGTCCGATATAAGGTAAATGGTGTACCAAAGTACCTATATATCTTTCGATTTGCACAAAATTTGGCACAGCGTAATGAATTAGGTCTAGAATCATGTGTGTTAAGTTTCGTAAAAATCGGTTCAGATTTGGATTTAAGGTAAATGGTGTACAAAATTCTCTATATATACTTCGAGGTAAATAGTGCACCAAAGTCCCTTTATGTGCTTCGATTTGCACAAAACTTGGCTTAGCGTAATGAATTAGGTCTAGAATGATGAGTGGTGAGTTTCGGGAAAATCGGTCGAGATTTCGATATAGCTCCCATATATATCTTCGTCCGATTTTATGTAAATGAGGCACCAACGTCCCCATGAATGCTTCGATTTGCACGATTTTAGGTAAGTAGTGCACCAAAGTCCCTTTGTATCCTTCGATTTGCACGAAATTTCGATAGCGTGCGGAATTAAGTCTAGAACGATGTGTGTTAAATTTCGTGAAAATCGGTTGAGATTTAGATATAGCTCTCATATATATTTTTGGTCCTTTTATATCCTTCGATTTTAGGTCCTTTTATATCCTTCGATTTATACGAAATTTGGCATAGCGTACTGAATTGAGTATAGAATGATGAGTGGTGAGTTTCGGGAAAATCGGTTTAGATTTCGACATATCTCCCATATATATTTTCGTCCGATTTTATGTAAATGATGCACCAAGGACCCTATATATATCCTTCAATTTGCACAAAATTTGGCAAGGCGTACTGAATTATGTCTAGAAATATGTGTTTTAATTTTCGTGAAAATCGGTTCAGATTTAGATATAGCTCCCACATATAGATTATATTTTTAACAACGCGGCGTACCGAATAGCGTGTATCGTTTTTCATAAATTTTCCCCATGTTACGTAGACGGCTCTAAATCTGCTCGAACGAAATTAAAGTTAGGATAGGTTGGAGAAAGAGGGAACAAAGACATGCAATTGTTAGAATACATATGTACAATATACCCAAAGTGGTGAAGGGTATCATATCGAGCCATATTCGCCAAAAAAACGTAACCCTCAAATTTGAAATTTTACAGTAGAAGGTTTGTTTTAATAAATTCAGATTTAATAAAGCTATTATTTTGAAATTTAGAACTATAGTTTTGTTATAAACTAGTTTTGTTTTAAACTGTAGTTTAAAATTTCAAAATAATAGCTTTATTAAACCTGAATTTATTAAAACAACCCTTCTACTGTAAAATTTCAAATTTGAGGGTTACGTTTTTTTTGGCGAATATGGCTCGATATAGTCGGCCCAGTCCGACTTTACTACTTTCCTTACTGGTGTTCAACTATGAAACGATTTACCCTAATACATACTCACAAGGCACATTTCCACATTCACATAACATATATAGTTATATAGTCATTGTACCAATTACAAAACTTTCTTGTTTTAGCTTTTTTTTCAAGCATGAAAAAAGCTTTAAGTCACCTGTATACAATTGAGTAAGTCGGAGAGTAAAAACCCAAAACTGAGAGATACACTCACACACACCAACAAGTATCTGGCTGTCTGTGTATATATGTTAATGAAAGTGAATTTCGTTTCGTTGAAGACGATCAAAGAAGTGGATGTGGTGGCACTGAGACGATAAAAACATTCAGTTGGTAAACATAAGTTGGTCAGTTTGGACGTGATTCGAGTTCAGGGGAACAGGCAACAGGTTAGTAATGAGTGAATGAATTCTGACATCAATCGCTTCTTCTTATTTGGTCATGGAATTACAAAAGAGTTATTCGTATTTTATTAATGACATTCAATATTGTTGTATTTAGTTCAAAATCCAATGAATTGATTTTGAAGCCTTGAACTTTAAACGTTACGAAAATAAATGCATATTATTACAATATTTTGTGTGTTGTTGTTTTATTAATATTGAATAAAAAAGTATTAATTGTGGTTTTATATTTTGCAGTTGTATACAAAAACCGGTTACCATGGGTTTTCTATTATTCGCTCTCATCTTGTACATCATTTGGGATGTCAATTATTTCCTACGTTGCATTTTCACCGTCTTTGCTGGGCGTTTGTTCCAAAGTAAACGGAAAGTTACCGACACAACAACGATTTATGGTAAGTTATAATTTGAAATATTGAATGGAAAATTTTCAAGTAATTAAAAATATTTTTTTTTCGTGCAGGCCTTTGCACCTCCCAGGATGTCGACATTTTCATTAAGCACATGAACAATGCCCGCTATTTGCGTGAATTGGACTTTGCCCGTTTCCATTTCTATGCCTTGACCGGTATTTACGAAAAGATCCGTGAACGTCGTGGTGGTGCCGTCCAGGGTGCTTCCAGTGTCCGTTATCGCCGTACCATTCCCATCTTCCATCCCTATAAAATCCAAACTAAATTGATTTGGTGGGACGATAAGGCCATCTATTTGGAACAACAATTTGTCACCTTGACTGATGGTTTCGTCCGTGCTGTGGCCATGTCCAAACAATGTATTACCAACTGTAATGTCATGGATATTATGAAGACATATCCTGAGGCTTCGAAACGTCCTGAAATGCCCGAAGAATTGAAGTTGTGGTTAGATGCCATTGAAGTGTCCAGCCAGAAGTTGCGTAAAGACAAATAAGTGGACGAAGACGGACACACGGGACTCAAATACATTCATTGTGCAGTATCTGCATAATCCCTCCTTATTAGTGTAGTACTATATAAATAATGTCGTCGGGTTAATTTTTTTGTACGTACTTTTTTGTTGTTTTTTTGTAAATATATTGTGAATAAACTAAGCTTCAATGATTGAAGTATTAATTTCAAGTGATGTTTTGTATTTCCTAAGTTCTTTTTTAAATATTTGCATTATGTATAGTGTGGTTCGGAAATTGTTTATAAATATTTACATATTTAATTTTCCTAAGAGCCACTTCATTGTAGAGCGTGAGTGAATACACTTGCATTACACTTATAAGAACAAAATAAATATAAAAATAAATAAAACTTGTATGTCCCCCACAATGAGGCAGACATTCCAAATTCCTAAAATCGATGGTGTCTATGTTATTGTAAATTTTAAGTAGGAAGATGAAAACCTTAAATATTAAACTATATACATTAAGGTTAAAAAAAACTTGGCCCCAAATAATTCATAGTAATGAAATGAAATCCGATGATTTTGTTGAAAAGTTTCCGAAATATGGAAATGCCTTTATAGTCCCCATATAAGGGTTCAATTAAAATCCAAAATCTAAATCGGTTGATAAATGTTCGCAAAATCTCACAAAACACGAATGCCTAGGGGTAATGTTCTAACCCCTACCAAAATGATAGACAATATTTTAATGCCCTCAGATAATTTGTAGTCGATTTACAAATGCCCGTCAGTCCGTATGTCCCTGTGTAGGTCTGGTGCGAACGATAACTCTTGAAAGGAGTAACCGATTTCATCCAAACCAATTTCATCCAATTTTTACCAAACCTGTATATTGTTGGAAGATTGGACTTATCGACGCATTCCTTCTAGTTCCTCCCCCACGAAATGATCAATATTTTGAAAATTTGTTTAACCAATAACAATTGGTTTTGGGTGGGTTTCCGACGTTTGTATTATACGTCGGAAATGTATGTCATTTACGTCACTGTTTCTGACGGACCATATCTGGCCCAATTTGATACAAAATACGCACATCGCAATATTTTTTCCAAACTTAAATCAAGTTCGATAATGGGACCCATCAGTTCACTCCTTCAGGTACCTCCCCCACAATGTAAAATTTCATACTTTATAAACCTAATTTTGAAACTCCAATTTCATATTAATATTCAACAAATTTTTAAATAACTTTTATTTCACACAAAATGTATACGATTATACCTTTCCTATGAATACCATCAATACGAATAAAGTTATAACAACAATAAATGAGGTATGCGTCGTCAGCGCCATCTATTGAGGGGCACGATTCAAATCACGTTTAAGGTCCAACCTTCGTATAACTCTTGAACAGAATAACGTATTTCAACAAAGAAAGGTGTCACAGGAAAAAGTAAATAATCTACGTTACCTGCAAAAAAATGTTATAACTCAAATAGTACCGAGGGTAATTAAAGGAAACTTTAATGCTACATTTCATATTCAAAAATTAACAAATTAAAATTATTGTTATTTTACAAAAATATATGAAGTTGTACCTTTCATATGACACCAATTTTATTTAAGTAGGTCAAAAGTTATATGAAAAACAAATGAGGTTTACACTTTGCATAATCGACTTTTGAATCTACCCATTCAATAGATGGCGCTGGTGACGAGTGCTTGCCAGTGTTGCCGAATTTATAGGAAATCATTTGTATTTTATATTCTCCATAACGTTTAAATATAATAATTATAATTCGAATGGATATTAATAGCTTCGAAGATACACTATCCGCAAGTATCAACGATTGTATAACAGAGTTGCCATGTTTAAAGAAAATTACAGTTTTCTGGGATTCTTCATAACGTTGGAATGCGTAACGATACATAGACAAATCAAACGGATATTTTAGCTCCTCATATTTTCTTTGTAAAATGGTTAACTGATGTATTACCGGAGTTGCCACTGTAACAGAAAAGTGAAAACCCATTCTTCAAAATCTAATTTCATATTCAATAACATGGGATTTTATAAATTTATTTAATACACAATAAAATATACAATTATACCTTTAATATGACACTACTTTTAGTTTAATATCTGCAAACCTATCTGCAAAAAGAAATTTTGTATGTATATTTAAAGATCGCGTCATCAGCGACATCTATTTATGAACATGATTCAAATCAGACACATCAGTTTTTTAAGACCAGCTAACAAAGCGTATAACTTTTGAACGGATAATCGGATTGGATTTTTTTTGTTATGTCACCAGAGACAAGAAAACTTTACCTTTCATATGACACCAATTTCATTGCAATATCTGTAATAGGTCAAAAAATTATGGCAAAAATAAGTGAGGTTTAAATTTTGCATGACAGATTTTTGGATCTATTCAATCTATAGATGGCGCTGACGACAAGTGTTTGCCAGTGATGCCAAGTTTACAGATAATCACAATAATACAGAAATAATTCAAAGAAATAATAATAATAGCTTAGGAAACCACTACCATACCGGATTAAGTTAAAGCCTCAAAGGGTAGAACTTCTAAACAGATAATCGTATTTCCACAAAATTAATGTCATAAGAAAAAGGGGACATTCTTTACTGATACGATTTAATTTAATTTTATGCTGGAGCATTTGAATTCTAATCTATAAACCAATTTTATATTAATATTCAAGTAATTTTTAAATTTTGTTTATTTAACAAGAAAGTATACGATTGTGGCTTTCATATGAAACCAATTTGTTTTTAATATCTGCACTGCGAATAAAAATTATGTCCAAAAGAAATGAGGTGCGTAATTTGTATAAAACCCGTCGTCAGCGCCATCTATTGTTGAACATGATTTTAATCAGGCACATCGGTTTTGGAGTCAAAATTTTGAAGCGTATAACTTTTTATTATCGCATTTCAAGGAAACTGGAGACGTAAATAGTCTACTTTACTATGACCAGCAAATACATTTTATACCAAAAATATTACCGAAGGAAATTAAATAAAACTTTATTACCACATTTAATATTCTAAAATTACAAATATTGAAGTTTTTGTTCTGTTACAAGAAAGTGTACGATTATACTTTTCATATGACAATTTTTTTGTAAAAAGTAATACGAAATAGGTTAATGCGAAAATAAATTATGTCAAATGGAGCATGATCTATTTTCGGTTCTATCCAATCGATAGATGGCGCTGACGACAGGTGTTTGCCGGTGCTGCAAAGTATAGTATAGGTGTAAATGTACCCGGTTATTGAGCTTTAAAGAGCTTTAGTTTTCATAGAATACCTACTTGATTTTCCTATATTTAATATTTATTATTTAATTCCCTATCTTGTGGCCTTACCCCCTACCTTGTGTGTACCCCTTTTATCAAAAATAAAACCAACAACACATCCATTTTAAATACATTAAGTTATCCTGTTTTTTTTCTTTTTTCATAAATTCATTTTTTTTGTTTAGTTCATTAAAATATAGACACCACTATAGGATTACAATAATAGATTGTACAATGAATAACAAAACAAAAAATAAAAATAATACTTCTCTTTAATTTACTATACATATATATTATATGTATATATGTGTATATATAAAAAGGAAAACAAAAACACAATACTTCAATAAATAGCGCATCAAGACACAGAAATACGCGGCACAAACACTTTTCACATTCATTCGCGATTTGAATCCTTTGATTGGATCCATGATTGTAAAACTAGAAAGGCTCAACGTAGCACAACACCTCCTCCACTTCTGGCAATCAAGAGTTAGGCCGTAAATTCTTACTCGATAAATCATTATATTCGATCCATTTTTGTATTTCTGGTGGCAGGTCGGGTTTTATTTTCGTATGAACTTGGCCATTTTCGGCCATATCTTGATCGACATTTGTACTGGCTATGGCATGATCGAGTGTCACCGTGGAACTCAGTGTGTTGCGGGATGCCTGCAGCTGGGCGGTTTTCGGCGATAGCAATTCATTCATAACATCCTCGGCCGAACAATCGACAATACGTTGACGACATATCGCAATGGCGTGTATAAATTGATCGGATGGTCGTATGAAACGATGTTCCATAAATACCGATTGATCATCCCAATAGATTATCTGCAGTTAAGAAAGAGAGAGAGAAACAAGAGTAAGAAATTATGATTTAAAGGAGGTAGATAAAATATTTACCCTGGAAGCAATTTTAAATCTACAAAATGGCCTTATAAACCGCCTATATCTTATGGTCGCCGCTCCCTGAAATACGGAACCACCTTTGGCCACAATTGTACGATATAAATTGGTGCGTTCATAGAAATCGACTCGAGCGAAATCTAATTCTCTTAAATATCGTGCATTATTCATGTGATACAACAGCGTATCGATGTCATTGGTTAGGCAGAGACCTGAAAGTAAAGAAAAATAAAAAAAGGTTTTATGTGATAAAATGTCGATAATATTTTGAAAAGTAGAATGAAATAAGTTCTTAACTATTTCAAAATAAATTGTAAAAAAACGCGCCAAAATATCGCAAATATCAAAATGTCGCCTAATTTTCACATCAAAACCATTTATTTTTAAACCAGAAAGCGGAGCAGTATAGTCGGATGAGGCCGGCGGTATGATACCCTACACAACTATAACTAAAAATTATTTTTCTGCATGGGCGGTCGGACATCCATAAATCGACTCAGAAAGTGATTCTATGCATATTATCAAAAGGAACTATGGGTCTATCTCGATTCTTTTTGCCTGCTACAAACATATGTACAAAAACATAAAACCCTTTACTACAGTGTGGTGTAGGGTATAAAAATTAGTCCTTTTTCAAATAATTGGCATTTAACACATTTTTATACCCTCCACCATAGTATGGAAGGTATATTATTATATTGTTTTCCCGTTTGTAACTCATCGAAATACTAATTTCCGACCCTATAAAGTATATATATTCTTGATCAGCGTAAAATTGTAAGACGATCTATGCATATATTTCTGTCCGTCCGTCTGTTGTAATCACTCTAGCGTCAAAACGAATTGATATGTGGGCTATATCGGTCCACGTTTAGGCATAGCTCCCATATAAGGGTACCACCCCCAATTTTTGGTATTTTTGGGTTCTCTAGCGCGTTTTTCAACCGAATACGCTGATTTCTTTACATTGGGTTCTTATTGGGTACCAAATACCACACCAAAAATATAAATATCGGTCCACTTTTGCTGGTATACCATATCACGGTACCTCCAAATATTCAGTATTTAGTACTTTGAGTTATTATTGGGTAGCAAATCTCTTCACTAAAAATTATAAATATAGGTTCATATTTTCTGGTAGCCCCCATATAAGGGTACCCCCAATTTTCGGTATTTTGAGGTTCTTGAGCACGCTTTTCAACCGAATTCGCTGTAATGTGGTATCGGTCATTAATTAGGCATAGCCCTAATATAATGATACCCCCAAATATTCGCTAATCCTACACTATGTAATCAATATTGGTCGCCCTATAGGCATAGCCTCATATAACTTTGCTATCTAAATTGCAATAGTTTGAGGATTGAGTCCACGATTTCGGGTTTTTAGATTTTAAGTCAAATCCCAATGTAAAATTGCTGAAATTTGTATTTGGTATACATAATGGTTTACATAAATTTTCAATGCGAGTATCTGTGACTTAACGACCGACCGAACTTAACTTTTTTAATTTGTTATACCCTTCGCCACACTGTGGTACAGGGTATTATGTCTTTGTGCATATGTTTGTAACAGGCAAAAATAATCGAGATAGACCATTGGTTCCTTTTGAGAATATGCATAGAATCACTTTCTGAGTCGATTTATGCATGTCTGTCCGTCCGTCCGTCCGTCCATGTATTTTTGTTGACAAAGTACAGGTCGCATTTATGATCCGATTTGGATGAAATTTGGCACAGGTCACTTAATTGGCCCAAAGACGAACCCTATTGAAATTGGGAAAATCGGTTCAGATTTAGATATAGTCAAAGTCCCCATATATCTTTCGATTTGAACTTAATTTGGCATAGCGTAATGAATTAGGTCTAGAATGATGTATGTTAAGTTTCCTGAAAATCGGTTCAGATTTAGATATATCACCCATATATCTTCGTCCGATTTAAGGTAAATGGTGTACCAAAGTCCCTATATATCTTTTGATTTGCCCGAAATTTAGCATAGCGAAATGGATTAGGTCTAAAATGATGTGTGTTTCCTGAAGATCGGTTCAGATTCAGATATAACTCCTATATAAATTTTCGTCCGATTTAATGTAAATGATGTACCAAAGTCTCTATACATATTTCGATTTGCACATTTGGCATAGTGTACTGAAATGAGTCTGGAGTGATGTGTGTAAAGTTTCCTGAAAATCGGTTCAGATTTATATATAGCTCCTATATATATCTTTTCTTCCGATTTTATGTAAATTATGCACTAAAGACCCATAGTTTGCCCGATTGCCAAACAATTTTGTACAATAAACTGTAGTTAATATAAGTAAACCTCTGCCATTCTCATTGAAATCGGTTCAGATTTTGATATAGCTTCTACATAAATATTTTCGTCCGATTTTACACGAAATTGACACAAATTTTTCACAACGTACTAAAGTTTGGAATAGAGCTTTTATATATATTTTCTCAAGATTTTAATTTTGTCCCATTGTACGAAGATATATATGGGGCATTCATGTTGAATACACCCAAAGTGGTAAAGGGTATCATATAGTCGACCCCGCCTGACTTTACTACTTTCCTTACCGGTTTTTATTTGAATTCAAACGTTATCAAAATTTCCAAACTATTTTCGCAACAGAAATATTTGCATTTTTTATTTATAAAAAAACAACATTGGGGACTTATTTCGTAACGCCGCAAGATGGACTTTCCTGTGTATCATTTCGTGATCTTTGGGCCATGGTTGTGGGCACTTGAGCGGCAAAAATGTGCTACCCTAAATATTGACAGACCAGGTGTTGTACCTGGACAGACCAGGTGCCGTACCTGGAACCGGACATTTATCGATCGATTCAACTAGTCGATATATTCCGACAACAACTTGTAACAAAAAACAACTTTTACAAAATCTCCGTTTATCTCTCTTAACAATTGATGAACATAAGAGTTAGCATTGATGAACATAGACTCAAATATTTTTAGAACCCCCACCATAGTATGTTGTATATATAACCCAAATAAATATCCGTGTTTTTATAGATATATATTTGATATAGTTTTGAACTTTAACAAAATATCATTGCATTCTACTTTATGTAGAGCTATTTTTTTTATTAATTTCCTGCAAATTATCATACTACCCTTTTATTATTTCATTGGTGTAAATTAGCCCTTGACCAAGGCTGTAATTAAGACGAATACACAAACAAATGTTGGGTGTTATTGATTTTTCTGTACGGCACCTTAATTAAATTTTGCCAAACGGGCGGAAATACAAGTTCACAGACAAATGGCTGGCAAAAAACAGTATATAAAATGAAAAAGAAAGAAGAAAAACGGCGAAGGACAGTGGACTATAATTATAACGAATAATATATATTGCTAACTGTAAAGATTTTTTTTTTTTGCAAATCAAGTTTCGGTATAAAAAACAAATTAAAAATTAACTAAATAAAGATTGTAAAAATATGTTGGGGTATAATTCCTAGTTTACACCAAAAAAAAAAAAAATAAAAACTAATATATTTCCAATTGAAATTCAAGTCTCAAAATATTCGAGACGTATCAAGAGCTACCCGACGGGTGTTGGAATAATTTTTTTTGACATAATTGAAAGTAATTTGTCAACCGAAGGGACTGCAAATTAAATATATATGTTTCGATCTAACCCTCATATGAAAGTCCCGCTCCCATTATAGATATTTTGATGGCCCCTTGGCCATCTACAATCAAAGTAGTTCTGTACTCATATACGGGTATCGAACAATTTTATTTATTTTGAATGTCTCTCAATTTGTGGAAAGTATAATTAAACAAACCTTCTTAGGATAAAGCGAAACTCTTCAACATTTAACATTAGTGTAGAAGACGTAGTTCTTCTAACCATGTCCCACTGTATAATCGGAAAACCCCCCTACAATTTGCGAAGTCGTTTAACACTATACCCTATCAAATTATCATCTACAACAACAGCAAAAAAGGAAAAAACAACCATGAGGGAAAAAATGAAATACCTACCGGATACAGTTGTCGTTTCGAGGATATGACATTTTCTTTTGACAAAACGAGCCAAAAATACACACAGGCACATACGTAGGAAGTAATGTAGTTCGAAAAGGCAATACAACAACAAAACGCCAACTAAACAACAAATTAACCAAAAACCATATTCTGAGGCCATTATTTTTTTGTTACTTTTTTTAAAATTTTCGAAGATACAATTTTTATACTAATTTTTTTTATTTTTTGTTGTAAATTGGTTGATTGATTGATTCCGTGATTTGGTTTTGGTGGGGTCGTTTAGATGGTACTACTTCGCTATTGATTTACATTCACTTCATACAACAACAACAACTATTTGCTGGGTCCACCGGATTCCTTGACTTGTGTTGTGGCTCAGTTTTAGTTGGAGAGCGGCAATGACGGCGGTTGGTATAATAATTTGAGGTTAAATAATTTCCTTTTGATGACCACTTTGTGTTGCTGTTGTTGTTCATTGTTTTATGCCAAGGATAAAGGATAATTGTTGTTCGTGGTCGTGGTGGTGATGATGTGACTGTGGTGTTCCGGTCAATTTACATTATCTACTACTGTTGCTTGAATAATTGCCACTCACAGTTGGTTGCATCACACGCACTCACATACACTGTATCTGTGGTGTGTGTCTTCTTCATTCCGCACCCACAATTTCAGTCATTGGGGAGCCATTTTTTATAGAGATTTCAAAACCAAAAAGAAGGGTAGAGATGTCAAATGTGGTTGCTGCACTTGAGGGGCGGGCAGGCGGGGTGGTCTGGCAAAATAATATGTGGGTCAATATCAGGATTACTTCATCTCAACTAAAACCCGCACACCCATACACACACACACTGTCGTACAAATAACAGCAGTAGTTGTTGTTCTTCTTATTGTTGTGGTGGAGGCAGAACAAGCGTATGCGCGTAATACAGTCAGTGTTGGGGAAGGCGGAAATCGTTGGCCACACTAAGCATCCAATATAGCCGCATTTGTAACAGCAACAGCATCAACATCAGCCACGATATGGTCACGGTTAGCCTTAGCAGTAGTAGCAGCAGCAGCAGAAGCAATTCCGACAGCTACATACATTGTCACACAACTAATTTTCTACACTGATTTATATATTTTTTATTACATTTTAATTGCATTTTATATTTTCCTTCATTTCTTTTACTTCTGTGTATTCTTTTTTCACTTTTTTCAATTCTTTCAAGGCGTATGTAATTCGAATAACAACCGGGGATACGAAGGCTTATTTTTTACTAGTAAATTTTTTGCAAAACATTCACTTTTTTATTTAATTAAGGAAAATGTAGTGGGTGGGCAAGAGAAGGGGGAGTACAGCAATAATGTTATTGTTGTTAATTTTGTATTCTTGTTTTTGTAATTTTTTGTACTATTCTCTTTTATTTGTGAGACCCGTTATGCGAACAATACGTATTCCAGAGTTTTCAAATATAACAATTCTTAAAGAACTAAAGACTACAACTGACTGACTGATTTTCGTTTGGTTGGATAATTTCTATTGCCTGGCATGAAATTTTCAAATGTTGTCGTCGAAGACGTCGTCGTCGTCATTGTCTTTGTCATTGCGAGAGCCTGAGAGCTAATACAACAGTCCTCCGACAGCGTTGCCGTTTGGTATTTTTAATTTTGTCTACCAAAAACATTCCTTGAAAAAAGCGACCAAAAACATTTTTATGGATATTTTAATGGAAATTTATATATAATGGCAAACTAGAAATAATTTCAGTAGGAATAAATTCAGATACTCCGTTCTTTTGTATCCTTCAACATTCGAATCCTAGCGGAGTGATCTGATATCATACATCTATGAACTTCATATAAGTTTGAAAAGAAAAAATGTTACAATGCGACAAGTTTGAACAGTCTCGGATATCTCATTCAAATATTATCAAATAAACCGACCCTAGCGGTCCATTCCATCCATTCATTACCTACCGACGAAACTCATCCTGGTCCCATTTACGCATTTGAAGGTCCCAACCACATTTTCTCAGAGTCTAAAGGACTTTCCCTTGATTTTTGACATTTTACCACCTATTTTTGGTCGCATTAAGTTTCGCATATGGCAACGCTGATTTTCATCTTGACGCATGCGTCTACAATACGTAATCTCTTCTGGTCGTAGAAATGTAAATATATGGTTTTTTCATGTAAATATATGTGAGTGTGTTTATGTGTATGGATGGATAAAAGTTGGTTGACTTACAAGTGTAACCCCAAGTGAAATTGTTTACATATACAGTTGGTGACAAAATATGGTACATAGCTTGGTATATGTATACCTATATAATAATATTATTTGATGCAATTAAGGGGATATTATAAGTTTGTGTGGCCCCAAGAGCTTGTATCGCCATGAAATATTGGTCCTAGAGTCCCAAAGAGTCTATCTAATCGATTTGTAACCAAACTACAGGCCACAGTTATGCAGAATTTTTTGCTGCTGATTCTTTCTGGTACCTTCCCACAATGTGTCGAAAATTTTGAAAATTGTCAAGTCCAAAAAAGGGATAAAAAAGGGATGGGCCTTCCTAGGACCTCTCTCTCTCTCTCTCTTCCCAAAAAACTGTCACTAATTTAGTACCACTTGGTATTATTGGTATCAAATAGAAATCGTACCAAATTGTCATTCCAAATTTGTAAGTTCTAACCGGTTTAGTACGAATTTCCAAAAACCCAGACCTATCGTACCTTTTCTGACTACTTCGGACCAAGAGTGACCGATACCCAAAATTTCAATACTTTACTTTTATCCTTTTTTATTTATAATCAATATAGATTTGGCGAACGATACCCTCCACCAAGTATGGAGGGACAATTATTTTGTCATTCCGTTTGTAGATCATCGAAATATTCATTTCCGACCCTATGTCACCATCCGTCTGTTGTAATCACGCTATCTTCTGAAGGAATTGATAATTGACGATGCTGAAATTTTTCATAGGGATTTCTTTTGTCTGCTGGAAGGTGGGCTATATCGGTCCACATTTAGAAATATCCCCCATATCCACTAAAAATTATAAATATAGACCCACTTTTTCGTGTAGCCTCCATGTAACGGATCCCAAAATGTTCGGTATTTTGGGGGTCTAGATAGCATTGTTCGACCGAATTCACTGTAATTTGGTATTCGTATTTGGTAATAAATCTCCCTCACTTTCTCTCACTTTCTGAGTCGATTTACGCATGTCCGTCCATCCGTCCGTCTGTCCGTCCGTTCTTGTATTTTTGTGAACAAAGTAAATGTCGCATTTATTTAGACCAAGGACGAACCCTATTGAAATTGGAGTAAATCTGTTCAGATTTAGATATAGCTCCCATATATAATTTTGTCCGATTTTATGTGAATGATACACCAAACTCACAATATTTTTCCGATTGTTACAACATTTTGCACAGAGTACTGAATTAGGTCCAGACTGATGTCTGCGAAGTTTTGTTAAAATCGGTTCAGATTTAGATATAGCTCCAGTATATAGTTTCGTCCGATTTTTTGTGAATGATACACCAAACTCCCAATATTTGTCCGATTGCGACAAAATTTTGCACAGAGTATTGAATTAGGTCCAGACTGATGTCTGCGAAGTTTTGTTAAAATCGGTTCAGATTTTGATATAGCTCCCATATATAGATTCATCAGATTGTTTTGTGTATGATACACCAAACTCCCAATATTTGTCCAATGGCGACAAAATTTTGCACAGAGTACTGAATTAGGTTCAGACTGATGTCTGCGTTTTGTTAAAATCGGTTCAGATTTAGATATAAATCAATGGTCATCCAAAGATTCTATGCCTGTTCTATCTACAGGATATTGTAGATATTAACATATCTTGTATGTACACAAAGTGGTGAAGGGTATCATAAAGTTGGCCCCGTCCGACTTTTGAACTTTCCTTACTGGTTTATAATATAATAGAAAATTTGTTCCTCGTATTGGGCTTGTTCCTATATAGGCGTATTCCACCATATTGTCGGTTTATACCCTACAAAGTATAGTATTCGAATGCCATTTAGCTATCTGCTATAATCATTTTACATTCGGGGGATATCGAGATAAAAAAGTAGAAAAAATCGTTCTAGGGGTTTTTAGATTTTAGGAAAAATCTCACTTGGAACAATTGTCGGTATAGGCATACTTTTTGGTATGCTTTCCATATTTTCATTTGAAGTAACTATCAGTATAGCTATGGTGGAGGGTATCCGGATCATTCTGTTCGTTGCAAATTTAACTTTTAGAGAACCCATCTATTTGATACTCCATTCAACATCAATTGTCGGAACAATTTTAACGCTGTCTGTATACCAGTATCTTTGTTTATTAATATGAGTATGAGTTCCTTATAAACAAACCCCTAAAACTGGTATCACAATGTTAACTTTGTGTATTGCATGAGCAGTTGTGTTCAATAAAATAGATACACTTAAAATTGCCAATACCATAAATAATAAATTGAAATTAAATTTTATTGAGGACGATTTCAGTTAATTGATTTGTTGGAAATGAAGTCCAATCGCATTACTCATATAAACGTTGTGAAGGTTTCATCAGGTAATTCCAAAAAATTGTCTACCGTAATTTTCACGGTACAATTTTTGTACCGTCCATTTTGAAATCATAATTATTATTCCTGTGATTTTGATGATACTTCTCATTTTTCCTTTAAATATACCCTGCCTGGAAATTTTTGAGTATATATAGTCTCTTATTGTTTTAAATATTTTTTTCTTTTTAGAAATTACAAATGTTGCTATTGTTTTGTCCATTAGCAGTTATCTTAAAATCATTTTTATAAATGCAAACTGGTAAATGTTTAAACCACGTTACTAGACTTAGTAAATACGATGACGTTTGGCTTTTTTTAATATAAATTTTCTTCTCCGCCGTTAACAGGTGATCAAATCGAAATTTATGTTTACATTTCTAAATGCGACGACAACTAAAGTGAATAGCCATTATTTTTTTGCTATCTTGGCATTAGGAAACAATGTGGACAAGTTTATAAGTGCAGGTTGTTAATGTAAAATCATTGTGAGGTTACACTTTTAGAATATAAATAATACAAAAAATACAAAAATTTACAAAGAAATACAAAAGGCGAACAGAGATCTAATGTCTGTTCATAGTATTTTCAGAATCAGATTTGTTTAAGATATA